TGTCTTCAATTAAATTATGATAATGTTATTTTTTTTTTAATTTTGTCACTTTTTGTTGCCTTCTACAGAAATAATTATAAATATCCGGTGTGTGTGTGTATATATATATTTTGTTTTTTCATCAACTGCTTTGGGACTTTTATTCGCGCAATATACCGTACACTATTCACGGTCGACCGGTCTTACGATTTTCCACTACAACCGGTACCTATGTGCGCGAATAATTTACTACCGCACTATATATAGACCCTTTGAGATGCGTTACAATACACGTTTACATAGGTATTGTATACCTAACCTAATAATATAGCTGAACACAAATATGCGTATAAAGACATCGAAACCCAAGCTTTCTGCTAATTATACACAACATATAATGATAAAGTAATCCAGCTGGCAAATAACAAAATGTATCAAATATGCTCAATTTTATAATACCGTTTTTTTGATATGAAATTCACATTCAAACAATAACATTTAACTAAAATCTGTAGTAATAAAAAACCCTACTGCGGTCTGCATCGTTGATAAATGTAATAGAAGTTCGTAAGCCCTCGATTTTCAGAGCAGCTTTTCAAAATTTTAACTTTTGAATGCTATTAGGTGAACTTGTCGTTATTGCGGTTTGACGTCTTGACCGCGGCTTACAGATGAAATGATAAAAATAAAAACACAAAACATAAATACATAAAAATAATAAACACAAGCCATAATTCTCGCTCAATACAATGAAGGCTGCCGACGGAAGAAACAAATTGTTACGGCGGTTGCTGTAATATTTAAATATTTATGATTCATTCCACTGTGGATATTGTATAGGCATATACAATATAAAGGAGGCTGTGTTAAATTCCCCAGCGGTGCATTTGTGCGCATTACCTATAGGCTATACAATTTATATATATATATTTTTTTTGTATTTCGAATTGTACTGGCGGACTGGCGCTTTCTTCGAGGGGTTTTTTTTTGAACATTTATTTTGGATTTTACTTTTGTTTTATTTAAATTCTCGACAACCGGTAATTTCCCCGGAGGTGTACACTGCCGGCTAGATCTCGGTTATGGATCCGGTCCGTTTGATTTATGACATTTTCGCACCACATCACCAAAAAAAAAAAAAATATGAAACGTAACGCGAAATTCAATATCGTCCGGAATTTTTTAATAGGTATATATTATATTGTATTATTATATAACACAATATAACTACAATATCACATATCCAATACACGCGACACCAATGTGGCCCAACCATCGCACAATAGTAATAATAATATATATTTTATTTGCAACGTTCCACAATGCATATCGTTTGATTTATAGTGCGCCATTATAGTGTAACTATTGTTTCAGATTAAAATTAAACCGAAACAAATAGCCGATAATAGTGTTGTATAGCTGTTGTTATTATTGCTTGCCGGTGTTTTATCTAAACAAAAAATTATAAATCCAAAAACGCCTATATATCTACCGTTAAAATACAAAGCTGCGCGTTGTGTACATGTTTTATTGCATTACACAAAGTCATATTGAAAAAAGCTAAAAGGCTGGGTCGGGAGTCTTGAGACATTATTAGTAATATACTATATAATTCTATTGATCATATAAAATTCTAATACAGTAGAATTATTTTTATGCCGACACAACAAAAGTGACAATTTAGTCAATAAAATATGTCCTTGTATTTTATTTTTTAAGGTTTTTCTTCTGTGCTCAATATAATGGTTTGACAAATCGATTTTGCAAGTAAAAGCAATAAGGCATAAGATATACATTAAATCTACATTTCAGATTTTAAGGTGCAAAATAAACAGGCGATATGAAAAACTTTTAGTTATGTCGATTTGTTAAATTGTGTTTGAATATTGGTCTGCATCTATTAGTTTTTTTTTTTTAAATCCACATTTATGTTAGCTGTGGTAAATCGTCGATAAATAATTACCAGTGTTGTTAAGTAGGGTTTTCTCTGTAAAAAGATAATAAAAAAAACACCAAGAGTATCTCAAAAAACACAAAAAAATAAACGCTTTGTTTGTATAATCTTTTCATTGAAAAAAAATGTATCTTTTATTTAATATATAATACTAAGGGTACCTACCTATCTTCTAGTATTATGTTATAATATTTGTAAATACAGCACTTTTATGAACTTTCTTTTTGTTAATGTATAATATTACAGTAAAAATATTTTCTTTTCAATTGTAATCGTCGACAAAAAAATGTAAAAATAATAATAATAAACGTCAAAGCTAAGAAAATGTCGGTCGGAAAAAGAAAATAACTTTTGTCGCTTTATTCGAGTCAATTATTTGACGGTTTCTTATTGTTGTTGATCGTTTTATTGAAATCGTTCCAGTCAAAAACGATTATAAGCGTATCGTATTTTCTCATTTAATAACTGCTTCGGATAGTATATATATTTTATTTTTATTGTTATATTGTTACGAGCGCCGCCACACGTTCTGGCGGAGGTGGTCTTATAAAGAAAAAAAAAAAGATATTTCAATAATAATCTACCAAGATTATGAGTAGACACGTGATATTTCATTTCCGGTAGCTACAATATTACTTTGGCCGACGGGATAGCAGCTGGCGTTAAGTAATTTAAGTTTTTTTTTTCCTAAAGCTTTCTTCAATGACAACTCTGTGGCCGCAACGAACAAAGTTTCTGTCAGACAAGTGAAAGTTATATACGACAGACTAGAGAGCCGATTTCAAATATAATTTTATATCATTTTGGGGGTTTTTTTTTTTGGCTTAGGCAGAAAATGTGTATCGTTATTATAACCATTAAAAAAAAAATGTCCTTATAATATGTAAATATATATTAATTTAAAATCTACAGACATAAGACAAAGCACAGATAACAACGACGCACACTATAAATAAAGTTACAGACAATAGTAAAAAAATTAAGTAGGTACCGTTTACTCAGATAATAATTATGAACTAATGTATAATATACATTTTTGACGTGCCAGTTGTCACTTTTGTTGCACAATTCTTGACAATTTAAACCCAAAGAGTTACGGTTTAGGATATTTGAAAATAATATAGGAATATATATGTATACAGGGAGAGATAGAGAGACTTTAAGGGAAATCCCGGGTAGTTAAATAGTTTAGATATCTTTCCCGTTATGGTCCTTAAGAGTTTGCCCATTGCAGATGGCCGTTCAGGGCGGTAGTCTAGACAAATAGTTGAGTAGGTTGTTTGGATGCGTGAAACAACGTTAATAATACATTGTACCATCTCTCAGTTTACAATAACTAAATGTAGAACCGATATATTTATGTATACATTAATTTGTGCTTAAAAATGCATTCCACAAATTGTGTCAATATATATAATTTTTCTCATCGTTAAATAGTTGCATGAATTAAATCAGTACAAATGTAAAAAATGCAGTATATATAATTAATAAAAACGCATTTTTTTTTTATCATAAGAACAATTTAATAAAACTTATAAAATCATAATAGCAGGTATTGTATATAAATCGTTTTGCACGACCATTTACGAAAAAAAAAGAGGAAATAACTATGTCTGCATTGCAAAATTGCGAGTAGACCAATGTAACAGTTTTTTTTTTAAATATAACATTTTATAGTCATCTTTTGGCTGTAAAACAAATAAATAAAGTAATAATAACAATTTTAAAAAAATTGTCTTTTCTTTATTATTGCATAATTTATTTTTTGGCATAGAGTGTTTCTAGACAAACAATTTTTCCGTGGTAAAATAATATATATTTTTACGGTCGGATCTTTACACGTTAATTCTTAACACTCCAATGAGCTCCTAAGATTTATACACATAACTCACTACATCCCGTTTTTATGTTGATTAAAAAAAACATTTTATTGCGAAACTCCAATGTCTGATCGTTGGCTACTTGCCTTTAAAAGTAAAAAAAATCTGTATACGAAAGCCAAATATTTCAGATAAGAGCAAAAAATAATATATGATATTTATGTATATTATTATAGTATCTCTTTTCATGAGTAAAAAGGGTTAATTTAATAATACACATAATCAATACACACAGTCGAAGGATAGTTCTACACAAAACAAAAAAAAAAGGGTTTGGACAGAGGACTTGTATATTATACCCAAGGGCAAAAAAGTCAGTATAATAATACCCTCGTATAAAAGTTATATAACGGTAACATTTTTTGCTGTGATTTAATTTCTGATTATTACTGCGAGCAATCTTTTGGGACAGCTTTGTCGAGTGCGAAAGGAAGGTGGCAATATAATTATTACACTTGGCCGCCCGTTCGAATTTTGGTCATGGGTTGTATTTCCAGGGACGGCAACTTCTTGGAGAAAGAAAAAGGCACCCCCTGTCGGTTTCCCGAAATTGTTTGATCAGGGCGAGGTCGTTAGCGACAACCGGACGAATCGAACCCGTGCCTGAGAAGAAAACCAAAAGTTAAACTTTCAGCAAGCAAAGAAGCAATCGTTTGTTGTTTCCGTTAGAATGTTTTGTTCTTTGGCATGTCAGAATTAGGTCTTTCTTCGCGCATGCGCATGTCTTATAAACAGCATGTCTGTTATATAGAATTCGAAATGTACTTTTTGAAAATGAGGATCTTACGTCGGATGGATCACTCGCTGTACTGATTTAGTTTACCCCCAAACAAAACACGGTAGTAAGTTATGATCAGAAATCTGTAGTTCATTTTTTATACTTCGTGGGTTAAACTGAAAATTGTTCAAACGTTATCGAGTCTTTTGCATGTGAGTAGTGAGTAGGAGAATCTAAATTTTCAAAAAAACAGATTTTCAAAGGGGCTTTTAACGTTTTTTTTGGACTACCGTGCACCGTGTCCGGTTTATAGAGACATCCCCGTCCAAGTAAATTAGGGGAGGCAACAATAAAAAAACGAAAAAGGCTTTGGCGCTCTCTGACGGCCGCGATCTGCGGTGGCGGCGGCGGCGGCGTCATTGCGTCCGTGGCGGACTCGGTTGCCGGTTAGTTATCCTCACCATTTATAACGAAGCAAACACACGCCGCTGGCATAGCGAGACGCGCACGGCAGACAACAGCTGTTATCAAAAGCACGCCCACGTGTTACCATAAGCGGTGGCCACCGTTGTGTTTTACACACTATAGTTATTACAGCCCCTCCGCGACGCGTGTCCGCCTGTCGACGATGTCCGTGTTGTTGGCCGCCGGAACGCCTGTGACGTGTTAGTCGGACAGCCACGGACACCATACTATTGAACACGTCGGACAGCGGGTTGGTGGTCGGCTATCACGATCTACTGCAGTTGGCCGCGTGCGACGCGTGCATCGTAACGAACAAACCGTCACCGCCGCCGTTGCGTCACCATCACCATCTGCACCACGCGTGCACCTGTGCTCCGCCCGGACCCGTCCGTACCCGTGACTGCAGACTGGCCGCCGCCGCCGTAAGAACGCTGCCGTATCCGCCGCCACCGCCGACGCCGCAGCAGTCGGTACAGCACGTCTTGAACCGTTGTCCGTGTACCATTGCGGGTCGCGTCACCGCCGGCAATCACCGTCAGCAGCAGCAGCAGCACCTCGACGACATCCATCACCACCACCACCACCAGCCGCCGCTGCCGCTGCCGCATCAACACCAACAACAGATGCTCTTCGTACCGTACACCATGCCGACCAACTACGGCAATCATATGGCTTGTCCCGCACCGTCTGCCGCCGCAGCCGCCGCCGCCGCCATGGCCTCTCTGTCCAACGGTAACGCAGTCAGCCCGTCAGCCGCCGCCGCAGCCGCTGCCGTGTCAGCCGTCGTCAACGGAAATTCCGGCCTTAAGGTAAACCGTTGAGCACATTAAACGATTGTAATGTTGTTTTTTAAGTACCTACTTGTTTAACATTTTTTAGCATGATTTAAACATGATAAGTGATTACAGTAAAATTGTACTGACAATAAATAGTACACAGTTTGGAATCGAGTTTAAGAAAAAAACACCGCAACCTGGTGCCGTAGGAAAAATATCAACAAGTATTTGAGAAGCCAAAAATAGGATAGCGGGTAGAGGGGTCTAAGGAAGTTTAGGCCTATTAGAAACTCTGAAAACTTCTTCAGAATTTTATTAAAAATTAGAAACCTTACTTAAACGCTGTGCCTGATCGATTGCTGACATTATTTTAGAACCTGAACGAGTTTAGAAGGATTTGAACTTTCCTAGTCCCTCCAACTCTAGTTGTGCCAATGTTAAATGATGCTCCAAAGTAATAATTAAAACCGAAATAACAGTATGTATTATTAACGGAGAGCTAAATTGATTTAAATTAAATAAGTAAAATTGCATTAAATCACCATAACGCATCATCTACACAGAAATAGAAAGTATAATGTAAATACATTTTTTTTGCTCAAATTCCCTTTGGTTAAAATGTAAAAACGGGATTTTAGGGATTTCACGCGGTTACACTATAGTTTTCATGATTCTTTTGAACGCTGTATCAATTTCGCTGTACGAATATTATCTTGAACAATATTATATTTTAAAAAATATTATATTTATATATTTTTATGAATGATGAGTTTAATAACGGATGAGAAAAATAACGCAGCGTCCTACGGGTTTCTGAGAATTATTTTGCATTTTCTTCCCCTTTGAGTCGTACACGGTCGTATGATGAAAGAAATCAATCTTATTGAGATTAAAACCGTCGTTGTTCTTGTACAATAGAACAACTTGTATTAGCGGTTTGGATGGTACGAAAAAAATACACAGAAATTCATAATCGACGGTTTAAACGTTTTACATTTAAGCCGATACTGCAATTTATAAATCATAATATTATTATTAAAAACATTCACGTGGCTTGTTCCTACATACATTCCTATTTGCATTTAAATTAAATAACTTTCGGTAGTTTTTTCATTACCTATTTTGTATGGAATCCAAAATGTTTCTAAAATTACAAAAAAAATTACAAAGTTTCCTATCAGTGTAAACGTTAGAATTTTAATCAAGTTAAACACATATTATTATTAAATTTTCTTTGTTAGCTAAATAAGTATTAATAATAATATGACCTAAACACATAAATAAAGGTCGCAAAAGATCAAAACCGAGCTTACATTTTTTTATACCTAACAGAATTTATAACCATTATATATTTATATATAACACAAGTGTATGGATTTAAGTGTACAGATATAAAATGCGTTAACCGAGGCGTTGGAGGTCTCGGGGATAACATTTATTATCATTATTATTATTAATAACGACGACTAGTGGAAAATCAACGCCAGTTCCGCCGGATTAATTGAAAAGCACTGCGGTCACAGGTCAGTGCTACTCGCCCACTCCTGTAAGCAACTCGACGGGTGCTTTATCCTTTTTGTCATAATATATATATATCGGTTAAGTATTATTCAATGAAATACCGTGTTTAATCCGGTTACTTGCTGGTTACAAACGGTATATAAACGATACGGTCGTGAGGTGCGGAACTTTGAGTGGAATCATTTAATAGGTAGCTGATGTTACTGTATTGTTATTTTCTTTGTATGGACTTAGTTTTTTCAAATGGAAACATTTAAAACAAATAATTGGATCTGTTCTTGTTTAAGGGATGAAGATAAAAATAGAAAATGAGTGTCTTACATCCAGATGGATCAGAAAAAAATCAGCTTCCAAACTTTAACTACTATTTATTATGTACTGTCGTATACGCACTTTGGTACACGAACCGTTAAACACACACACACTGTAAATAAAATTACTTAATACCTTTTACCTAAACACTCAGGTGACTTTTAGTAAGTGCGCGTAAATGTGGCAGAGCTCTAGTTACCTTCCGGATTGTTTTTGCCTCAGGTGATTTTCCATCTAACGAACAAGCCTCTGATTATAAATAGTATAATGCCTCGGGACAATTATATTGTCTAGCTTTATAACTATAATAAACAGGTTGGTAGCTTGAACGCAAGTACTGACACTAGCAAAGAAACAAGAGCCGTATTCTGGTTTCCTCGGGAGATGCGGTCTTTAACACAATACACTTATTATTAAAGAACGCTTAGTTTCGAATTACCTTAAAGGCGACGGGAGAAAAGGTAACACTTTTTAAATTAAGTAAAAGAAAAGTAACTCAAAAGTTAATAAACACACACACAATTATAATATTCGTAAAAACAATGTAAAAACATTAATGCACGCGACAATACCCTCCTCGTAACAGAACGGTTGCTTACAGGAGAGTGCATCCGACATAGTAATTTGGGCGGCTTTAAATAATAAACATGATTGAAATTTGTATGTGTAGACAATTTTGTATAGTTTTGTTTTGATTGTTTGGCCTACATTTAATTGCTTATTCGCTAATATATATTTAAGAACTATATTACAGTACTATACTTGTTATGTGAAATCCGTGTCGTTATTACAGTAGTTGTGTGTATAAACACATATAAGTACATTTTTTTTTACTCCCCGATCGTTTGTTTGATGTTTAAGTACAGGTATAATAATATATGTATCAAGAACCGTCTTACGCGTAGTAACGCTACAATAGCGTTTACTCGTGTACAAAGCGCCTTAATATGAAATCCATATTATACGGTGCACCTTACCTATATGTATATGGCTCGCACCAATCCGGTCTAATACACGTCTAAGTGGCCACTCGACTTGTGCTTATTGCAAACAACAAGAGAATAAAATATCGTTTGTTTCGATACGTTCAAACTTCTTCACCGATCTTAACAAAAACTACTAAACAATGCGCCGACTGCAGTAGCGATCGGATCTGAGATATTGTACCTGTCTGCTCTACGGTTCGTTTTGCGTTATCTGGTCTGTTTTTCCTTTTATCGAGTGGGCGAGTTCTAGAAGAAAATATATATTATGATTGCATAAAAAAAAAAAAATAATAATAATAATAGGCGTTCGGTTCACACCCGAGTAGTATGCATAAGCGCGTTTAATGGAGAGGCTTTGCGACGGATTGTCGTGCACGTCTGAACGAGCCGAGATGAAACTAGTCTGTCGATTTACGCTCGAAGTCACATCGTAGAGAGTTAAACTTGGACCATAAACGAAACACACTCATATATATATATATATATATATCACTTACTTACGGCCAAAGACTCTTTCGGATTGTTAAACTGTAAACGAAAAATATACACAGCTGAGTGGCGGCGTAGCAAGCTCATTTACCTATATTATATATATTATGACCCACTATACTGTTATACAGCTATTAAGTGAGCTCAATTAATTAATAGCCGTTCGTTATGGCCGTCAAGTCACCCGTATAAACGTTATTATAGCCTGTTGTTGTCGTTAAAAACAACAAAACATACCTATCTATCTACCTGGCAAAAGTGGCAAGTCGGATGCAAGCAAAGTAACATTATATATTGTCTCTCCTCAACGTGTTACGCGTTATACGAGTTTTGGGTAAGTTAATTAGCGTTACGAGGTTAATAAAACGTTTCATTATTTGTTTTTGTATATGTACCTATATGGTCTTTGGACTCGACTCGGTCATTTAATAGTGTCACACCGGACGACCAACTAAAAATAGAAAATGGTTTGTGTTTTTCGCATAATGGCTTTTTCGCCCGACGACTAGATTTATGTTGGTTTTGAGTGAAACTTATTTCCGACCTGAACTCATTAGGCGGAGTCATCATAATAAAGGCGTTGAAGTCCATTAGCCCCAAAGATCTCTTTCTCGGTGAACTCTGAAATTATGCAGCGTTATCCGTTACAGCGCAGCCGAGATAAAAAATGAACAGTAATCATCATTCCTAAGAAATAATATTATTTTTTCTCATTTTTGTCAAATCCTTAATACAGCTTCATTTTTTTAAAAAAATTGTAAAAAAAAAACATTATTGTGACTATACTCGCTTAGTTCGTTTTTTTATTGATTACAACATAATAATATTAGTTATTTTTTACACACAACTAATCAATAATAATTACTCTAAAGTATGTCAAAAGCTAAACAATCTATCTCTAACAACTGAGAAACGGATAAAAATAACTTTTGTCTCTAAACTCAAACTCAAGTTATATACACCCAAGAAATAATATTATTATAAAAATCCTGATTGTAATTATGCTGTAAGCCACAGCAGTATAATTTTAATATGGACAATAATATTGAAAATTAGTAGCCGTTATTGGTATAATAAGGGGGAAATCAAAAAAATAATAATAAACTAAAGACTCTATAATAATATATAGGTTATTATCAAAGATATAATTATAATAAACTAGACTGCTAACTAGTGATAAGAATGGAAGTCGACACAACGCCGCCATTTTTGTGGTATTTATTTGTGTATACAAAAAATATATAAATATACATACATCTGTGATTCTGCGTTATCAACTTGACTTGTAATATTTTATTCTGCGATTATTGTGATAAGGTACTGATTCCCACAAAGATGGCGACATGTAAATCATAGCAATCTAGTTTAGTGTGGTTATTATAATATTATTTTACAATGGTTATAACATACTGTAGAAGGACATAATACACATTATTATAACTGACGTTTCGCGTTGGATATTTTGCCGTTGCACAACGATGATGTTAATAATTATGGGGCGGGTGCTCGACTTTGTTAAAATGTAGTATTATATTGTTTTGTTTTGAAAAACACACGGTTGACCTTCATATTTTGTATTACACTCGTGCACACATTGAAAAGTTTAGCCGGATTTGTTGTCAGCCCAACAACGGACAAAAATATTCATTAACGAACGAGGCCGGACCCTCGTCACGAACGCCATTAATTTGTTTCCAAAACGAGTCGTGTCGCCTCCAAAAAACA